AAATCTAACTTTAATCTATTATTAAGACAGACAAATAAAGATAATATATATTAACAATAAATCTTGCTTAAGGTTTTAAATAACCTATCAAACAAAATAAATGATTTGGATTTGAAAATTTTTAAAAATTTTAAAATAGCATTTTAAACAAACAAACAAATAAATTAATTTTAATTTAATATAATTAAATTTTTATATTAAAAGGATGGATATATATTTCATTTAATGTATAATAAAAATATATATATTTCTAAATTATTTATTTTTCTATTATTTTATAATAAATAAGCTAATTAATTAACTTTAAATCAAACTTATTTAAATAATTATTAATTATTTTTTATTTTAAATTATTATTTTTAGTTTTAAAAATGTTATATTTTTAATTCAATATTTCAATTAAAAATTTTTATAAATTATAAATAAATATTTATTAATTCAAAACAAACATTCCTTTTACTTTAAATACATGTATTCTAAACTAGATAATTCAATTTTTTTAAAATGAAATTTAAATTTTTTCTTTTTTGATTTTTGTTAAAGAATTAAATAAATTTTTATAATCTTGTAAAAAGATTTAATATAAAAACTTATCTAATATATTTTAGATAATACATAAGCTTTTTAGAAGTTAATCATTTATGTTAATAATTATAATTAAATCCTTTATTTAATTCTAAAGAAATCTTTAATAATAAAATATAATAATATTCTTAAATGCTATTTGCAATTTAATTTTAGATATTTAATAAAAAAATAAATTGTCTATAATCAATAAATAAATAAATCAATAAAGGTATTTTATATGATCTCAATAATTAATTTTTTAAAAATTAAAAGAAAATCATCAATTTTGAGTCGAATACTAATGTAAATAACAAGGAATTTAAAGCCAATTAAAATTTTGAAATTAAAATTACAGAGATAAGTAAGTATATAATGGGTAATCAAAACAACAGTTTGGTATAGAAAGAAAATTGCGCAAATGAATTGAGAGACAAAATAGTTAAAGAATTTTTGTATAAAAATAATTATAAATATTAAAAACTTTTAGGTAAGAACGATTTTTCTTATATGATAGTTGCTTATTCAATTAAATTTGGATGCTTAGTTTCTATTAAGGTTATTCAAATGCTTAATGGGGTAAATAGAGTCAACAAAAAAAAGATTGATGAATAAATGTAAACTCTCTAAAAGATTAGGAATGAAAGCTATGTCCTATATATTATTGAATCTATTCAGGATGAAGAACATGGATTGTTTGCTATAGTTTATCAGTATTGTTCTTGTAATTTAGACACCATCTTGAATCTAAATAAATTGGAACTTGAATAAGTATTGGCTATGGCATATTAACTGCTAAAGGGATTAATTATTTTATATGAAAACAGTATAACTCATAATAATATTAAACCTAATAATATTTTATTTTCTAAATATAATAATTTATTCTTGATAACTGATTTTGGATTAAATCAAACTCCTTAATCATTTAAGTCTACTTAAATATTTTGTTGTAGAGATTCTGAAAATACTCAAGGATTAGTTATATAATATAATTCAAATATGAAAAATTCTGATATATTTAACTTAGGAATAATTTTAATTGAAGCTTTTATATAGAGAAGACTAACTTAAAATGAAAAATAAGATATTATTAATTAACCAAGTCTACTTCAAGCTTTACCCTTTCTTAAAAATTCAAAGAAATTTAAATTTGTTGAATAAATACTCTGTAAAATGATTGATCAAAATAACGATGATACCAAACTTCTACCATATTCCCTTCTTTAAAGCTTAGATTAATTTTCTATAAATGAAAACTCTCTTAAACAACTTAGGATATAAAAAGAGAAAAGGTGCATTCAAATAAATGAATTATATGAACTCTAAAAAATAGTTGATACTGAAATTCTAATAATAAACTTTAGAAAGAAAAATATTGATGCAAAAACAGCTAAAGATATAAGAATCTCTTTAGAAAAGTGCAAAAATATTTCTGATTTGCTTTTTGATTTTAGCTTTAATAAGTTAGGGTTAATAGGAGCTTTGCATCTAGGAAAAAGTTTAGAAAAATGTTAGAATATTGAAACTATATAACTATACCTAAAAGACAACTATCTTGGTGCTACTGGAGTGAAAAATATTGGATTAATTTTTCAAAACTGTAAAAATTTAGAGCTTTTGGATCTAAAAATGAGTATAAATAATCTTCGAGCAGAGGGTGCAAAAAATATTGGAATGATATTAGAAAATTGCCAAAATATCATTTAATTGAATCTAAACCTCGGGTATAATGCGATTTGTGCAGAAGGTGCTAAATATATAGGAATGAGCTTAGAAAAATGCTAAAGTATAGCATATTTAAAATTAGGCTTGAAATTCAATAAACTCGGCTAAGAAGGCGTAAAAAGCATTGCAAAAAGCTTAGAAAAGCTAAAGGACATTAATTTATTAAAATTGAATTTATGTTCGAATAGATTAGAAGATCTGGCAGTAAAGTCTTTAGGAATAAGTATAGGAAAATGGTAAAACATAGTTAATTTAAATATTAATTTATCCAAAAACAGTATTACTGATGATGGAGTCTAAAACCTTTTAGTAAATTTACAAAACTGCAAGAATATATTTAAATTGAGTCTCAATATTAAAAAAACTTTGCAGACCTAATAAGCATTAGAAATTATTGGAAAGAGTTTAGAAAAGTTACCAGAATTAATTTCTTTTTAACTTATTATGACTGGTTTTAATCTTGAAACTTCACATTCAGTTGAAATTACTAAAGAAGATAAAGCTTTTAAAAATTTTATAAAAAGCTTATAATAATGTAATAATTTAGTATTTTTAGATATTATATTAAATTCAGACTATGATATCATGTTAAAATTTGATATTGGCTTGAAAAAAATCAAAAAATTAGTAAGATACAACACTTTTTATTCTTTAAATTATAATGAGTATTGATTAAAACAAAATAGTAAAATCCATACTATTTATTTAAGGCAATATTTAATTAATTATTTTAATAAGTACATATATAAATAATTATATCTGATTGAATAATCTCATTCATTTTATACAAATAAAATTTAATGCAAAATAAATAAATAAAAAATAAATTTATTAAATGTTTAAGTAAAATATTAAGTGGCATCACTAACTATTTTTTAGAAAGGCAAGGTTTTATTTTTTAATAAATTTTTTGTTTTATATCTAGTCAAATGATAATTTCATTCACAAAAAAATTTAAAAATTATTTAATATATATATCCATCTGCACTTAAAGAAATTACTTTCAAATCTTTATTTTGATTATGATTTTATATTTTTCTATAAAATTTTTTAATTAGAAAAATAATAGATAGATTATTTCAATGTTTAATTCATAAATCTATTTTATAAATTATTTTTTAAATAAAATTATTATTTATATTAAATTAAGTAAGCTTCACCAAAAACTTTCCTTAATAAGTAAGCATATTCTAATTTTTTAAAAACTAAAATTAAATAATTTGTTTTTATTTCATAAAATTTTTTAAATTAACTCTCAATATATGTGAATTTACTGAAATAATTTTTTACTAATAAAATGATAAATAAATAAATAATATTTATTAAATTAGTAAAGTTGATATTGTAAACACTTAAAAATATCTTTAAAAGATAGGAAGAATGTTTTAAAATATAATTATTTACAGCTCCAATTAAATTTAGCTAACAAAAAAGCTATTTTTGTTATTTATATAAAAAATAATATTCATTTTATTTAAAATAGCTTCAAAATTATTTACTTGGTTATGAAGCTTATTTAAAAAACCGAAAAAATAAAACAGAGATATCTATCTATCTAATTTAAATAATATTTAGGAAATAATAAAAATGTATTAGCTTGCAAACAAACATCACAAAGTATAAATAGATCCAATTAATAAAATTAAATATTTTTTGGTATTTATTGATTGCTCTGTTATAGATAATATAAATCTTAGATTTCTTAAATTCAAAATTAAAAGCAACAAACAATTTTTACATAATAATTTATTATTAAGTTAGCAGATTATAAAAGGCAAACAAATATATATATATAAGTAAGTAAGTAAGATAGTTATTTTAAAGCAAATTAAATATTATAAATGACTGAAGCTAAGTTGTTTAATTCGAATGTCCTTAATAAGTCGAATATGGATAAATTTAGTAAATAAATATTTTTAAGATTTGTATTAAAAACATATTTCAAAAATCAGTTGAAAATAAAATTAATAATCTATAGATCCAGGTAAGGGTTTTGAATAATACGCAGACTACTTCGATACATCTCCAGATGCATAGTATGATACTTTAGATGAACCCGTTTCAAAAACAATTGTAAATATTTGATAAATTCAATATAAATAATAATATTTAACTTCATTAATTGAAATTAGGGAAGAGATTTAAAAATGATAGGACACAAACTTAAGTATGTTTTACTCCCTAGATTTAGAGAAGAAACAGGAAAATCCTTAAGAGAATGTAATTTAAAAATAGTAAACATAATCATAATATTATTTCAATACAAATTATTAGGGGATTTATGGGGTCCACTACTATTCTGCTTAATATTGTCATTGTAACTACATTGAGATTTATTAATATATATAAATATTACTCATTCAATAGCTAAATAAATTGATATTAATAACGAATAAATTAAATCAAGTCAAGTGATTGATTTATTGATAGTTTTAAAAAACTAATTACTTCTGATTTGATAAATTAATTATTATCTTAACTCTTTCTTTAAAAATAAATAAAAAAATAGTGTTTTAACTCTATCAACTACTGATAACAACAACTTATTTGCTACTATATTCCTAATAATATGGGGTGGATCTTTAATTGTTACTGTCAATTGTAATATCTTAGGTGGAAATGCTCATATATTATAATGTTTATGTGTGTTAGGTTATTGTATTTTTCCAATAGTCCTTGCAGCAGTTATTTTGACTGCATTTAGTGTCATTTATCAAAGCATGATTATTAAGGCATCTATCGTAGGATTTGCTTTTCTTTGGTCTAGCACATGTAAAACATACATAAATTTATTTTAGAAACAATTTTTTCTTCAAAATTAAAACAATAAATAAAGTAATTAAATCTAATTTTATTAAAATAATCTTTTTATTAAAAACCAGCTTCTGTTGCTTTTATGTCAAGCATTATTGACCCTGATAAAAAAGCTCTTTCTATGTATCCCATAATTCTATTTTACTTATTCCTCTCATGGTTTTGCTTATTTATTTGAAAAATAATAAAAAAAATAAATATACTCTTTAATAAATGTATTAATACATAATATATATATCCTGTAAATGTTAATTAATATCCAAATAAAATTTAAAATATTTATCATAATTTATTATTATTTAATTTACTTTAAATTAAGCATTTTAAACGCTTTAACTTTTAAATCAAAAAAGTTTTAACTTTTATTTAAGAACTTACAAAGATAATATTTTCATATGCAACATAATTTTGTTTAATATCCTTTTTTTGGTTAATTTAAATATTTATTTTGGGATTTTATTTAAATCATGATTTGAAGAAGTTTTGAAGAAAAAAATTATCAAATCAAGTAAGTAATTCATATATCAAAATAATTTTAATCCAAAAAACAAATCTAAATTGACTGATTGATTTTTTATTAATTTTGAATGAAGATAAAGTTTGTTGATTGGTAGATTCGTGGGATTATCATGCTAATTTATTAAAAATGAAATAAGATATTAGATTAACTAATTAGATATATAAAAAAGTTTGAAATAATCAAAAATAGTAAAAACTATTGTTTGAACCTGTCATTGAAATAACAAGAGATGTGTTGTTTGCTTGATTGTATTTTTTCAATGTAATATTTATTTATTTATTAAAAATATGATATGCGATTATTCAGTTTAACTCTGCTTAATATTAATTAAATAAATAATTAAATCAATTTAAATTAATAAAATTTTCGCTTTTTTATTAGCCTTATAAATATAAATAAGTAGCAAAGAAATACACATTAAAAAACAAACAAATAGGATAATTTCATAAAAAAATCACTTATAAAAAGCTCAAAAATGGAAGAACAAAAGTTAATTCATAGAATCTTGAAGAAGACCAGTTAAAGTTTCAATGACATGCGCACAGTTATTTTAAAAGTTAGAAATAATGCTCTTTCTTTTGCTGATACTGTCTTAGAATTTGGAATTAAGTTAATACGCAATAATCGCAGCCAATTAGGAAGTTAATGTAAACCTTTTCCTAATATGCCAAATCATTTTATAAATAAATCATTAAATCGAATTAGCTTAACAAAAAGTGAATAGTATTAGCAATACTGATTTATTATTTAAATAAAATAAAAAGAATTCATTGTTTTGGAAGAATTATTCAATGCTGCTATTGATTTGCAATTATACTACATAGCTGATGTAATTAATAAATTAATAGATTTCTTGCTCTTACATTTAATAAGAAATGCTAAAAGCTTACATCATTTTAATCTCTATTTTAAAAAATATATAGAAATGTCTCAAGAAATTAAAAGCTAACTTCCCTGATTCACCTAAAATTAGTTTGATGCAAGGTAATTAACTAACTAACTAATTAATTAATTGATGATTAAATATTTGAAATAATATCTTTTTTTTAAAAAATATGCGGATTTAAATCATTTAAAAATATTTTATAAAAGTTGTGTTAATTGAAGCTGCAGGAAGAACTGAGTTCTTTGACACATAAGTTGCAGAAAACCTTTCATAGAACTTGCTTGATTATGTAAAAGAATTACGTTTTTATTTTTAAAAAATTTGGTAGAAGCGAAAAAGTTTTGTTTGTTGTTTGATTCTTCAAAATTAAATTAATCTAAATTATTAATTAACTCTCTAATTAAATAAATTGGTTAAAATAATAAATAATATTAGGATACTAAAAAGAGATTAGTAGCTCAATAAAGATATTCCAAAACTGATGGTGCTTAATCAAATTTCGTTTAAAAAATGAATACTTATTTGGAAGAAAATCCTAACGACGGTGAAGCCTGGCTTGAGTTAGGTGACTTTTACTTAGAAAATTTAAAGTAAATTATTAAAATAAATTAAATCAATACTTATGTTTAAATCTTTAATAAAAGCTATCCTAAAGCTCTTTACTGTTATGAAGAATTAATCCTTTTATACCCCAAGAGATACATCTATATGACTAGAGTTGCAGAAGTAAATAAAAACTATTAATTTATTTTTAATATTTTCAATTAAATAATCAATAAAAAATTAAATAACTAGATATACTACACTATGGGTGCTGACAGTGATCTTTTAAACGCTAGAAGTTATTACTCTTTTGTTTTAAATAGAATGTCTAATAATTACAGATCTTTATGGGGACTATATTAGACATGTAAAAAACTTAAAGCTCTTTTCCCTGATGATTAAAAAAATAATCAGTTACTTGAGGTATTTATTTTATTTTACTTATCTTCTTCAATTATTTAATTATATTTTGATGTTTAAAAATTAGACTACTACTCAAGCTCTTAAGGCCTTCTATAAAGAAAAAGGATAACTCCATTTACTTGATTAATTAGATCTCTGAAAATATTCATTTTTAAATAATTAATAAATATTTAATTGTAGATAAAAATTTTATTTTTGATATTTATAAAATGTTACAAAAAATGTAGGAAATATTATTTTTATTTCTATCTTTAATAAAGTAAACAAACTTTAAAAATTTTTAAATATATTATACTGTATAGTATTTCCAGGTATTTATTAAATTCTTATGGATCGATGTGGAAAAGTAAAAATTTCTTTAACTCCTGAAATTGTCTGCTATACATTTGATTAATTAATTAATTAATAATTTAATATGATTTTTTATTATAAATAATTAAGTAATTTCAGATGTTAATTTTTAATTTAAAAGATTTTTATATATATATATAATATATTAAATATGTATGATTAATTATTTTTTAAAAAAATATTAATTTATTATATAACCATAAAAGTTAAAATAAAAAGTAAAATTTGATTACTCCCTTATATTTAAATAATGGTATTTAATCAATCATGATAAATAAAAAAAGGATAGAAACATGATTTATTGATAATATTTCAGATTAAAATATAACTGGAATAAAAAGCTTGGCATTTATATAATTTATTAAGATATAATATAATACTAAAAGTTTCAAATTATTTGATCGTTTTTGGAGAAACCATAGGGTTTGCTTAAGAGAAATTAATTTATTTAATTAAATTTTATTTTTTAATATTTTTATTTTTTATAAATAATTTATTTACTTACAAAAATAAATATGAATGATATTTTTAAATATAAAATCAATAATAAAATCTATCTATCTATCTGTTTATATTTTAGGTGAAAAAACTTTTTCAAAAAATATTATTCAAACATTAAATATTTACTCATCTTTTTTCGTCACATATTTATCACCATTTAAAGACAACTAATCTTTTTGATTTAAGACACTTGCTTTTGAATTTTTATTCATTCATTTTGCTAAAAATTTTATAATATATTGGTGTAAATTTTAAATAAATATCAAAATAGAATAAACTTTTAAGTTAAAAAATATTTCATAAATTAATAAATAAAATAGTATTAGTGGAATTAAAAAGATAAAAAATAAATCAAATAAAAGTTATCAAGTAAATTCAAAGAGTTTTATTGTTTTTAATTAGTTTTTATAATTAAAAATATCACAACCCAAAACAAATAAACTGTTTTTACCGAAATTTAAGTGTCAAATTTGAGAGATTAATGCAATTTGCTAAACCAGAAGCTAAGCCTGATGCACCTTTATCACCAATTTAATTATAACTTTTTAAATATTGAAGAAAAAATATGTCATTAAATAGTTAATTAGAAGGAAAAAATAAAGAAAAAATATGAAAAAATAAGATTAATTAATAATAAAAGTTAAAGTTGAAAATAAAATGATGAGCTAAATTAACAAAGAAAGAACAAAAAAAAGCAAGCACAATATAAAGAGAAATATTAGTTTTTATTATTAAAAATATCACAATCCAAAACAAATAAACTTTTTTACTTAAGATCAAGTGTCAAATTTGAGAGATTAATGCAATTTGCTAAACCAAAACCTAAGCCTGAAGCACCTTTATCACCAATATAATTGTTACTTTTTAAATATTGAAGAAAAAATATATATTAAATAGTTAATTAGAAGTAAAAAATGAAAAAAATTATGAAAAAATAAGATTAATTAATAATAAAAGTAAAAGTTGAAAATAAAATGATGAACTAAATTAACAAAGAAAGAACAAAAAAAAGCAAGACCAATATCAAGAAAAAGAAAAAAGACCTTTGTTGTTTTTAATTAGTTTTTATCATTAAAAATATTATAATCAAAAACAAAAAAAAACTGTTTTTACCGAAGATTAAGTGTCAAATTTGAGAGATTAATGCACTTTGCTAAACCAGAACATAAGCCTGATGCACCTCTATCACCAAAATAATTGTCACTTTTTAAATATTGAAGAAAAAATAAGTCATTAAATAGTTAATTAGAAGGAAAAAATTAAGAAAAAATATGAAAAAATAAGATTAATTAATTAATAATAAAAGTAAAAGTTGAAAATAAAATGATGAGCTAAATTAACAAAGAAAGAACAAAAAAAAGCAAGCACAATATAAAGAGAAATATTAGTTTTTATTATTAAAAATATCACAATCCAAAACAAATAAACTTTTTTACTTAAGATCAAGTGTCAAATTTGAGAGATTAATGCAATTTGCTAAACCAGAACCTAAGCCTGATGCACCAATTACATCAATTTAATTGTCACTTTTTAAATATTGAAGAAAAAATATATCATTAAATAGTTAATTAGAAAGAAAAAATGAAGAAAAAATATGAAAAAATAAGATTAATTAATTAATAATAAAAGTAAAAGTTGAAAATAAAATGATGAGTTAAATTAACAAAGAAAGAACAAAAAAAATCAAGCACAATATAAAGATAAACAAAAAAGACCTTTCTTGTGTTTAATTAGTTTTTATAATTAAAAATATAATAATCAAAAACAAATAAACAGTTTTTACCTAAGTTTAAGTGTAAAATTTGAGAGATTAATGCAATTTGCTAAACCAGAACCTAAGCCTGATGCACCTTTATCATCAATTTTATTGTTACTTTTTAAATATTGAAGAAAAAATATGTCATTAAATAGTTAATTAGAAGGAAAAAATGAAGAAAAAATATGATTAATTAAAAATAAAAGTAAAAGTTGAAAATAAAATGATGAGCTAAATTAACAAAGAAAGAACAAAAAAAAGCAAGCACAATATAAAGAAAAACAAAAAAGACCTTTGTTGTTTTTAATTAGTTTTTTTAATAATTAAAAATATCATAATCCAAAACAAATAAACTGTTTTTACCTAAGATTAAGTGCAAAATTTGAGAGATTAATGCAATTTGCTAAACCAGAAACTAAGCCTGATGCACCAATTGCACCAATTTAATTATTACTTTTTAAATATTGAAGAAAAAATATGAAAAAATAAGATTAATTAATTAGTAATAAAAGTAAAAGTTGAAAATAAAATGATGAGCTAAATTAACAAAGAAAGAACAAAAAAAAGCAAGCACAATATAAGGAAAAACAAAAAAGAGCTTTATTGTTTATAATTAGTTTTTATAATTAAAAATATCACAATCCAAAATAAATAAAATGTTTTTACTGAAGATAAAGTGTCAAATTTGAGAGATTAATGCAATTTGCTAAACCAGAACCTAAGCCTGATGCACCTTTATCACCAATTTAATTATAACTTTTTAAATATTGAAGAAAAAATATCATTAAATAGTTAATTAGAAGGAAAAAATGAAGAAAAAATATGAAAAAATAAGATTAATTAATTAATAATAAAAGTAAAAGTTGAAAATAAAATGATGAGCTAAATTAACAAAGAAAGAACAAAAAAAAGCAAGCACAATATAAAGAAAAACAAAAAAGACCTTTGTTGTTTTTAATTAGTTTTTTAATAATTAAAAATATCACAATCCAAAATAAATAAAATGTTTTTACTGAAGATAAAGTGTCAAATTTGAGAGATTAATGCAATTTGCTAAACCAGAACCTAAGCCTGATGCACCTTTATCACCAATTTAATTGCCACTTTTTAAATATTGAAGAAAAAATATATCATTAAATAGTTAATTAGAAGGAAAAAATGAAGAAAAAATATGAAAAAATAAGATTAATTAATTAATAATAAAAGTAAAAGTTGAAAATAAAATGATGAGCTAAATTAACAAAGAAAGAACAAAAAAAAGCAAGCACAATATAAAGAAAAACAAAAAAGACCTTTGTTGTTTTTAATTAGTTTTTTAATAATTAAAAATATCACAATCCAAAATAAATAAAATGTTTTTACTGAAGATTAAGTGTCAAATTTGAGAGATTAATGCAATTTGCTAAGCCAGAACCTAAGCCTGATTCACCTTCATCACCAATTTAATTGCCACTTTTTAAATATTGAAGAAATAATATATCATTAAATAGTTAATTAGAAGGAAAAAATGAAGAAAAAATATGATTAATTAAAAATAAAAGTAAAAGTTGAAAATAAAATGATTAGCTAAATTAACAAAGAAAGAACATAAAAAGTAAGCACAAAAGAAAGAAAAAGTAAAAAGACCTTATAGTTTTTAATTAGTTTTTTTAATAATTAAAAATATCATAATCAAAAACAAATAAACTGTTTTTACCTAAGATTAAGTGTCAAATTTGAGAGATTAATGCAATTTGCTAAACCAGAACCTAAGCCTGATGCACCTTTATCACCAATTTAATTATAACTTTTTAAATATTGAAGAAAAAATATCATTAAATAGTTAATTAGAAGGAAAAAATTAAGAAAAAATATGAAAAAATAAGATTAATTAATTAATAATAAAAGTAAAAGTTGAAAATAAAATGATGAGCTAAATTAACAAAGAAAGAACAAAAAAAAGCAAGCACAATATAAAGAAAAACAAAAAAGACCTTTGTTGTTTTTAATTAGTTTTTTTAATAATTAAAAATATCATAATCCAAAACAAATAAACTGTTTTTACCTAAGATTAAGTGTCAAATTTGAGAGATTAATGCAATTTGCTAAACCAGAACATAAGCCTGATGCACCTTTATCACCAATTTAATTATAACTTTTTAAATATTGAAGAAAAAATATCATTAAATAGTTAATTAGATATATAGAGAAAAAGGTCGTTTAGCGCCTAAGGATAAGTTAGCATTCAAATCATTTTTTATAAAATCATTTTACATCAAGTACATTCTACACAAAACTAATTTTCCCCTAACGATTCCTTAACTATTCATACTTTCAAAATCATTTTATATAAAATCATTTTAATAACAAGTAAACACCCACAATTATTACTTTTTTAACAAAATTTCAAAAAATTATTTTTTTTTAAAAAAATGATATGTTTTTTGAAAATACTGTAAAAATTATTTCAAATTTTACATTTTGTGATTTAAAGATTTCTAAAAACTAAAAAATAAAGCTGTGCTAATTTAGCTCTATTTAGTATGTTATTAAAATATATTACATTTCGCCTTTTATTAATTAAATAGGCTTTTCACTCTAGTTAATTAGAAGGAAAAAATGAAGAAAAAATATGATAAAATAAGATTAATTAATTATTAATTAATAAAATTAACAAAGAATGAAAAAAAAGAAAAAGGAAAATAAATTAAATAAATTAAAAGAACTTTAATATTTTAAATAAACTTTTCTTATTAAAAATATTACAATCAAAAACTAATAAACTGCTTTTATTAAGTGTAAGTTTTAATAGTAAAAAATGAAGAAAAATATTAAATAATAAAAAATGAATAATAAATAATTAAAAATTGAAAATTGAAATGAAAATTAAGTTAAAACAGCTAAAAAATTTTTGTTTTCGTAAAAATCAATGAATAATCATGAAAATTTTTATAGTAAAAATTATTTATTTAAATATATTGAAAGTTAAATATATAAAAAATATTAATAATATTAAAAATAATATTTATAAATTAAATATACCTCAGATCAATATGGAGAACCTAATGAGATAAAAGTGAAGAGCTTTTAAACTTTTTTTATTAATTTATATAAATTTAAAGAATATTAATTAAAAAAATAATAATTACTTCTTCTAATTTATAAAATTTTTTAATCTATTATATCATTTATTTTTTTAGTCAAAAATATTGAATAGCAAGCTATTTATTTATTTTTTATTTTGAAATTTAATTATAAATAGATAAAAAGAACAAATAAAAATAATAATTAATTAGTAATCAAATATTAATTTATTAATTTTGTTTTATGAAGAGATATCACAGAATAATTAATTTAACATTCATTATATAAACTTAATATTTTTATTTAAAACATTTACTTAAAAATATATATAGTAGGAATTATAGACGGCTAGTTATTTATTTAGTCTTATTTAAAAAAATTCTAGTAGTTAATGTTCTTAAATATTATAAAAATAATGTTTATAAATAGATTATTCTGTTTTAGATCAGTGATTTTAGGAATATTTATAATATCTCTAATTGTAGCAAGATGCCATACAAAAATTTAGTGGCTTGCATGCCACTTATTATGAAATAGATTTTTTATTTATTTATTAAAAAATCTGATTTTTATATTTTAAAATAGAATTATATTTAATTAATAATTTAATTTATTATAATTTCAAAAATAAATAATTTTTTTACATCAAAATTTTTAAATTTAGATAAATTTTGAGAATTAATAATGGTAATAAAGAATAAAATTTGGCTAAATAATTTTTAATTTTTGGATACATGTATGTAAAATATGTATAGAAAAAATACTATATTTGATATTTATAATTATTTCATTAAGTTGTAAAAAACTTTTACTCATCAATATTTTTACTATTTGATTTATTGATAATATTTTTTATTTTACTTGTCTTTATATCATCTTCTTCTAACACTTCATCACTTTTAGTTTTAGGAGTTAAGGCACTCAATAGGAAATTAGTTTTATTGAATTAACTAAATTTTTAATATTTTGGTGTATCTATATTTTGCTAAGAGTCTATTTCTGGTGATTTTGTTATTAGCCTATTTGTTAATTGCTGATTTGGGAGAATTTAAATATCAAATTATCTTAATAGATAACCATTAAAGTCATATATTTTAATCCTATACTATCCTACACTTTTTTAATCTGGCATGCCTTTAATTTAAATATATGACTTCTAAAAATTGATTTGCATCCATTCAGGTAGTCTTTCATTTTCAGAGAGTCCTTTCTCAACTAAATCTACTCCAAGAAGTTCTTATGCCTTTACACAGCAACGGCATAAAATACCTTTTTCATAAAATTTTATAGCACGTATTTGATAAGAGTTGCAGTGAAAGGAATCTCCAAAAGAAACTTAAAAGAATTTTCTTTTTTAAATTGTAACCCCAAGTGCGATAGCAAATAAATGCTATTCAATAAGAGGTAAATAAATAGATAAATCATAAACACTTAATCCATTATATAATTGTTCTTGGTTATTATTTCTTTGGTTTTATGGATTAGTTTCTTTTTTCATATCTTCTGTTATCTCTTTAAATGCAAGCTTTATGCATTCATACTTTAATTGATATTAAGCTTAGTAATCCTCTTAGTCTTACTAAACTTATTTTAAACCTACATATGCTCTGTACCAATCTGTTTTTTTGAATATGATAAGGGCCTTTTCTTAAAGTAAGATAATAATTCTCTTTACTATTGGATAATTTTCAACAAAATATTCAGCTGCAAGTCCTTTAATCATAGTCGAAAGCAACGAATTTTCATTTTCTAGTTCTTTTTACAATTTATTTGTTAGTATTCTTCTTGTAGGGTTGACAGTTTACTGTTACAAAATTATTAATTCTTAAATATATTTAAAATTTATTTAACCAGAACTTTCAAAAAGTTAAAAATTTAGATTTAACGAATTATTATTTGGATTTAATTAGCTTTATTAAATGCTTTTAACATTTAAATCTTTGCATAGATTTTAGGTGATCTTCTCCTGATAATTTTTATTTTACATAGACTGAGTCACTAATCTAGATTACTTAAATTTTCTCTGTGATCTACTCTAGCTTTAATTTTTATAGGGTGTTTGATATTTCAAGATATTTTCTTAAGAAAATACAGATTGTAAATCTCCTATCTTAGTTAGATTTTCATCATTTTATGGAGATAAAATTTATTCATAAACTTCATCATCTACTTATAGAATGCCTTATGGGTAAATTGATTTTTTCATCTCTTCTTATAAATTAAAAGTCTCTGCCTTCTAATTAAGTTATTCGTGAAATACATTCATTTAAATCACTGAATTTTATTTGTTGAAGACTTAATTTATTTATTACTATATGTACTTTGGCTTTATCTAATTCTAAATTTCTTTCCATAATTAAATTGCAGTATTTAAAGTGTTTCCACTTATAAATATCTTTTTTTCATAATATTCTTACTAATATGCTACTTCCTTCGTGTATGTCAAGAAGTATCTAAATATTAGGTTGTAAAATACTGTTCTGTATTTCCAGATCCCTAAAATTCCTAATAGGGGTCCTAGGATTTAAATAATAATTTATATCACCAAATAAAAAGGGATAACAGTAACGCTCATTGTAAATTCATCAGATGCAACTGTATATCCATCTGTTGCTTCTATTAAAATAGTCTCGCTCTAATAAAATAAGTTTGTTGAAGGAGTTCCTACAAGAGTTCTTTCATTTGATTAAAAAGAGAGCCAGTAGCCTGCTGGAATATTTTCATATTACCCATCATCCTTTTTTATTTTTGCAGTGTAGGTTAGTTGAGGAGAGTCTAGACATTAGAAAACTTGATCACCAATTCTATAGCTTAATGGAGTTTAAACTGCAATTTAGCCTTTTGGAAACTAATTATTAAAATCATTTTGTAGAATGCTTTTAAGTAAAACTGGAGACTGCAAAGAAATAAATTTAGATTTTTATAATGAAAGTGTTTAATCATAATTGTAGTTAATTTGATCGTTCACAATTATTTAAATTTCAGTTTAGTTTACATTTTGTGTATTATTTAAAGATAATTTTATTGTTTACTCTAAAGCTTGATTAACATTAATCACAGAACCTTGAAGCTGTATAGTATTTTATTCAGAATTAATGAGAACAAGTATTCCTGAATAAAGTTTATTGACAAACTTTCCATATGATGTATTTATTGTTACAATTATAGAATTCTGATTTGAAGATATTGGGCTCACAGAATTAGATAAATCTACTATGAGGGAAGTTTGTGTATAAAATTAAATTGTATAGTTAATTATATTTTGATTTAAAGTTATTTATATGAAACTTAAAACCTAACTGAATTAACCTTGTGTTTAGTTCCACTTCTAAAGAACATTAAGTGAGTTAGTGTCTAAGAATTAAAACACATTTTAAGGGGAGTACTAAGAAGATACAAAGCCAGCTGAATCTAAATATCCAACGTTCATGCATATTTATTTAATTTTAACAGAATCTTCTTAATTTATATTAAGAAATTAGTTAACGAATGCAAAGTCATCTAACTATTAGTAGCATAAAAACACTACCTATTGAAGAGATTTACTTTAATACATTCCATCGCTGCCTGCTACTAAAGATTCATTGGACGTTTATATACTTAAAACTTAATTTTATGGAGAAAACTATATCCAACTAGGTAATTCTAGTAAAACATTGTTAAAATAGTATTAAGCTTTTTTAATTTAAACGCTTTTAGATTAGTAAATATTAACTAAATAAATTTGAATATAATCTCCCACTTAAAAAGTCATATTACTTGGTATTAATTCTTTTTAGTATATATTAGAATTTGAGATTTTTTTCAATTTATAAATAGAAGAGTGGAAAATTATTGGACTTTAGAGAAAACATTAATATAATGCAAGCTAAGATAAAGCAAATATATAAGAGTAATCTGGTGCAGCAACCAACCAACAATTAGGATCATTATCAGGAAGAGAAAGAATTTGCAATATTACTGGATTAGATTTGTCAACTATACTCACTAAAATTAATGAATCTATCTCTTCAGTTGAAATAATTAGGTAGTTATCATTATTTAGTAGTAATGCTGATCCAACAACACCTCTAGTTGAAAATTTCGAAACAAATGTGATACTTCTATCAGAATTAATACCATAAATATGGATACCTTAAAAGCTAACACATAAAAAAATATATTTTCCATCTGATGACAACCTTTTATATTTTTATTAATATTTTATGAAGAGAAAATAGTAAAATTACTTGAATTAAAATAAAATATTTAAGCTATTGAGTGAGTTTAAATTAATCTTTTACACAATGAAAATCAAAAAAAAAGAAATGTTTTAAAAAGTATGGAAATAATTTGCAATGCCAACTTTTGCTGAAAACTCCCCCCTCCACTTTTAGCAGCTTAATTAATAATGCATTACTAAAACTATCTTTAATTTAAAAAAATTTACGTAAATGAATATGTTATTCCAAGATTTAGCTTGTAAAACAAGTAAGGGTTAGAAGGATCTTAGATGTCTGCAAAAGCAATACCATAATCTTAAGGATTCAAAATTAAAGTTTTTTCATCTATGGAAAGACCAAGGGTGTAAAGGCTTGAATCACCTTCAAAGTAGACTGAAGTATTTATTACAGAAACTACTTTAGGATTCAATGGGTCATTTGTGTCTATAATAATTACATTAACTAAATTAGCGACAAAAGCTAAATTTCCTTTTTTATTGAATTCTATTTGCTCAAATCTGTAACTAGATTAACCTAGAGTAATGCCTGTCTTTACTATTTTTGGTGCATTTATATCTTTGCAATCCACAATTTAGAGACCTTGTGACTCTAAACTTTGATAGATTATACTAGTATTTGGAACTCTAGTTTAATAGGACACAGAAATGCTTGAGTCATTATTGTTTAATTATGATTCTAATTACAGAATTCCATTTCCTTTATATTAAAAAAATGCGCTTCCATAACTGTATCTTGAAACATATAAAATGTTTTCAGGGGTCTAAAAATACATTTAATTATCAAAACTTCCGCCAGGAGGTTTATAGAAGGAATTACTAACAAGTTAATAGTTATTCAGTAGGAGGTTAGGTACATCTAAGTTTAAGTTTGGAATAGTTTTTTTAAAAATTTGAACATTATACCAACTCGAATAAAATATGTAATTTCCATCATCACTTAGCTTTAAATCTGCACAAGTCCCACCAGTCTAAATAATTTAAAAGGGCTCTAGCATTTTTTATCTGATATCAAATACCACTACTCCTATCGAACTCAATTAAGTATACAAGAAATTCTAATCAATTGAAAGAGCAAATTTATTACCTAATGGACTAGAAGGATAGGTATCAAGTTGAATTATTTTACTTGGATCGCATGTAATTCCGTCGTAAGAATTAATATAATCTTAAATATCAACCATGATGTATTAGATATATTATATTTATATAACTAGTATATTTTCATGAATTACTTAAAAAGAACTCAAAGTAGAACCTTGGCCTGGTGAGTAAGAGCAAATATTATTGAACTTGCCTTTCTTTAAATCTTCAATACTTTATTAGTAGAAGTTTATTAAGCTATAGCTTTGAACACAAAGAATTGAATTCTACAATGCAAATTAAATATCATATATGTTAAAATCATTTACTTCAACTGTTTAGATAATACTAATATTGCTATTTGCCAATGAAATCAGTTTGAAGTTATTAATACATGCTAAAAAAGTTAAGTTAAATTGTTAAAATTAAATAACTTTCATAACATAGTCTTATTAATCTTTAAATGTAATATTCTGTGTTAAAACTATTGGAAATTATGATTAAGATACATCTTAGATATCAAGAAACCCTGATTTATAACTAACCCAAATAAATTTATTTGAGTCTGTAATACTCAGAGAGAGAACTTATCCTTTTTTTGGCGAGTAAGGGTAGAAATTTACAAGTTAAACACCTTCTTAAACATTTGTCACATCATAAATTCCAAAACCACATTTCTACAAGCTGACAGCAAGTAAATTTATTTAACTGCTTCTAAAATAAGTCATCACATCTGATGAGCCATTCTTACAAGGAATAGTTGGATCAATCACAGCTTTTGGAAAAGGTTCAAACACAGGGAGCGAATTATCGTAAAGGCGAGAATCGTAGCAAAGTAGAAATTCAAGTAAAAAATTAAAAAATATGTAAAGCTAAAAAAAATTCATGTATTAATATCAATTAAGCAAATACAAAAGTTATCTAATTATTAATCAGTTAAGAAAATTTACTCAATCAAATAAGATTGTTTTTTTCACTTTTTTGTTTCTCACAACACTATTTTTTTTCTTCTTTTTTGATAAAAATTTTTAAATAAAAAAATTATAAAATATAAAAATAAATGTAATATAAAATTTGTGCTAAGCAAATCTAAAGTAGAGTTAAATGCCTTTTTAATTTTGGATAGGGTATCTATAGTAATTAATGTATATTTAATTAAAAGAAATTTAGACAAATGTTTAGATTATTTTTGAAATTTATGCTAAAAAAAGGAAAAGAGGTTATCTTACTCAATCACATCTTATATGCATATATATTCAAATTATTTTTTTTGTAATTTCCTTAAATTATAATGCTGATAGGTAATAATTTTAAGACAGAAGCTCATTTATAATTTCTATTTCAGTTTATTATTTATAATTCTAAATGTAAATCTTATTTGAAAATAGCTAGCTAATAATCGGTTTTTCATTATTGGGTTTGATATTGAAAATTAAATTTTTATTTTGTAAATAATAATTAAGAATTCAAATGATTTTCATTAAATGAAACAACAAACATGAATTTATCAAATTTACAAAACTTCAAAAATTATATTTATTCATGAATTTTTAGTTTTGTTAAGAAGTCTAAAATTTTTTTCGTTAACATTTTTAACACTTGATTCATCCTATCAGGATTATTTTAATTTGGAGAAATTTCATCAAATTCTAAATCAGTATGAATATGTAAAATTTATGAGTTCAACAATGAATTAAAATTCATATTCAATTTTTCTGTATTCGTGTTAAATTTACTTAATAGCATCTATTTTCTAAGAATATCATCAGTTTGATATTGTTATAATTCTTGATTTTATTATTAATCTATTTAACTATTTGGTTTTCTTGATGGTCACACTTAGATGCCAAATTATCTCAAAAGAAACCATCTAGATCATATATTTTAAATCTAGATTAACCAATATGTTTTAATCAGGAGTTCCTTTTAAAGTAATTTCAGTCTTCTAAAAATAAATTTACATCCATTCATTTAGTCTCTAATTCTCCATTAAGCCCTTTTCAACTTATTTAAGTCCTAACATTTCTTAAGCGCCAACACAGCAATGAAATATAGCAGTTTTCTCATAGCATTTAATTGAACGAATCTAGAATGAATAACAATAGAAGCAATCTCCCTCCTTTAATAACTTCAAAAATTTTTCTCTTTTTACTGGAGACCCCAAGAGTAACAGCAAATAGATATTATTCAATAAGAGGTAAATAAATTAATAATTTTTAAAAATATTTATTTTCCTATTCATTTTATTATTGGTTTTATTTATTTTTTAATTTCATTTACTCTTTCATCATTTCTTAAAACACTAATTTTAAACAATCTTCATTGAGCTTGTATGTGGGAAAAATTGTATCTAAAACCTTCTCATTGATTTAAGCGCTTACATAAGCTCTGTACCAATTTATTTCTCTATATATTATGAGAGCTCTCTATTTCAATAAATTAACTATTTGACAACAGAAGGTGAGCACTCTATGAAATACTCGATAGCTAGATATCGCAAGATAGTAGAAATTCTTGATTTATTATCATTTAATTGTTTAAGAATATCTTTGCTAAAATCTTCACCTTCTTTTAAGTTGTATTATTGTACTTTTAGATTGTTAAGCTTCTGATATACTCATAATTGATTTGGCCGCTTTTAAAAATAATTACTAATTTTAGATTTATTTGGGGGTTGGTTATGCTCTTTGAAGGATTCTGTAATTTCAAAATAAAATAAAAGCCTTAGTTAAAGCAAATATGAAATAAATCAATAACCTACTTCAAATAAAAAAAATCAATCTTATTAAGATAATTTTACTTCTATCTTAATGAGATAAATTTCATTTAATGAAAGGATAAGAAAAATTGTTTTTATCTTGAATTTTCAAATCTATTTGGCCATCAATGTCGCCATTTTCATCATGGCAGTAAACTGACTTTTAGAGCTGCTTAAAAAATATAATATTAAAATCACTTTTCTTTAAGAAATTGCTATTATAATTTTATAATACTAAGTAATTAAGTTTTATTTAGCTAAAATACATGACTTATTTCATATTAATTCTATTAAAGTTAACTTTATACAGGCTGCCATAGTTAAAGAGATATTTCAAGCAAATTATCAGTAATTATTATTACTTTTTTTATAATATTCAGATACGTTATGAAGATATAATTATTCTCCGCATTTTAAGCTTTAAAAATTATGATAGATGTTTTATTTATTTTATTTGTTTCAACATAAAAAATATTTTAATAAATTTTCCATATTTAAAAAATTATGATCATATTTTATAAAACCCTTGTTACTAGTTAGCTAGTTTTTTTCACAAAAAAATTTTATTCTCAAAATAAGTAAATAAGTAAATAAGTTGCTAAGTTGAAATTCAGATAAAAAATAATGGGATTTATGGTATATATAATCTGATTTTAAAATAATTATTTTTAATTTAGAATATCTGATTGGATGAGTGTGATTATATGGATAATTGAGATAAAATATATTTATTTTTAAAATAGTAAAATTAGTACGATTTCCAATATCGATCTTGTGACAAAATATCCCTGAAGTAATGTTCTCTCACTTTTTCAAAATATTAATTAATAAAATATATAATATTATTCAAACATTTTATATCTATTCATCCTTTTTTAGCCAATTATTTATCAGTAGAATATTTTTTTAAAGACAACTAATCTTTTTGATTTAAGACAATTGCTTAATACTTTGAATTTTTATGATTCATTCATAGAGCTAAAATTTTTATAATAAATTTGTGTAAATTTTTAATAAATATCAAAATAGAATAAACTTTTTAAATTAAAAATTATTCTTTAAATTAATAAATAAAATAATATTATTGGAATAAAAATTATAAAAAAATAAATCAAATAAAAGCTAAAAAATAAATTCAAGGAGCTTTTTTGTTTTATATTCATTTTTATAGTTTAAAATATCACAATCCAAAACAAATAAACTGTTTTTACTTAAGGTAAAGTGTCAAATTTAATAGATTAATGCAGTTTGCTAAATGAGAACCTAAGCCTGATGCACCCATTGCACCAATTTAATTTTCACTTTTTAAATATTGAAGAAAAAATATATCATTAAATAGTTAATTAGAAGGAAAAAATGAAGAAAAAATATGAAATAATAAGATTAATTAATTAATAATAAAAGCAAAAGTTGAAAATAAATTGATGAGCTAAATTAACAAAGAAAGAACAAAAAAAAAGCAAGCATAATAAAAAGAAAAAGAAAAAGAAAAAAGAGCTTTATTGTTATTAATTAGTTTTTATAATTTAAAATATCACAATCCAAAACAAATAAAGTGTTTTTACGCAAGGTAAAGTGTCAAATTTGAGAGATTAATGCAATTTGCTAAACCAGAACCTAAGCCTGATGATCCTTCATCACCAATTTAATTAAAACTTTTTTAATATTGAAGAAAAAATATATCATTAAATAGTTAATTAGAATGAAAAAATGAAGAAAAATTTGAAATAATAATATTAATTAGTTAAGAATAAAAGCAAACGTTGAAAATAAATTGATGAACTGAATTAACAAAGAAAGAATAAAAAAAAAGCAGACACAATAAAAAGAAAAAGAGAGCTTTATTGTTTTTAATTAGTTTTTATAATTAAAAATATCACAATCCAAATCAAATAAACTGTTTTTACTAAAGGTAAAGTGTCAAATTTGAGAGATTAATGCAATTTGCTAAAGCAGAACCTAAGACTGATATTCCTTCATCACCAATTTAATTATTACTTTTTTAAAATTGAAGAAAAATATATCATTAAATAGTTAATTAGAAGGAAAAAATGAAGAAAAAATTTAAAATAATAAGATTAATTAATGAATAAAAGCTAAAGTCGAAAATAAAATCATGAGCTAAATTAACAAAGAAAGAACAAAAAAAAAGCAAGCACAATAAAAAGTAAAAGAAAAAGAAAAAGAAAAAAGAGCTTTATTGTTTTTAATTAGTTTTTATAATTAAAAATATCACAATCCAAAACAAATAAACTGTTTTTACCCAAGGTTAAGTGTCAAATTTGAGAGATTAATGAAATTTGATAAAGCAGAACCTAAGCCTGATGATCCTTCATCACCAATTTAATTCAAACTTTTTTAATATTGAAGAAAAAATATATCATTAAATAGTTAATTAGAAGGAAAAAATGAAGAAAAAATTTAAAATAATAAGATTAATTAATGAATAAAAGCTAAAGTTGAAAATAAAATCATGAGCTAAATTAACAAAGAAAAAACAAAAAAAAGTAAGCACAATAAAAAGAAAAAGAACTTTATTGTTTTTAATTAGTTTTTATTAATTAAAATATCACAATCCAAAACAAATAAACTGTTTTTACTCAAGGTCAAGTGTCAAATTTGATAGATTAATGCAATTTGCTAAACCAGAACCTAAGCCTGATGCACCCATTGCACCAATTTAATTTTCACTTTTTAAATATTGAAGAAAAAATATATCATTAAATAGTTAATTAGAAGCAAAAAATGAAGAAAAAATATGAAATAATAAGATTAATTAATTAATAATAAAAGAAAAAGTTGAAAATAAATTGATGAGCTAAATTAACAAAGAAAGAACAAAAAAAGCAAGCACAATAAAAAGAAAATGAAAAAAGAGCTTTATTGTTTTTAATTAGTTTTTATAATTAAAAATATCACAATCCAAAACAAATATACTGTTTTTACTCGAGTTAAAGTGTCAAATTTGTGAGATTAATGCAATTTGATAAAGCAGAACCTAAGTCTGATGATCCTTCATCACCAATTTAATTATAACTTTTTTAATATTGAAGAAAAAATAAATAATTAAATAGTTAATTAGAAGAAAAAAATGAAGAAAAAATATGAAATAATAAGATTAATTAATTAATAATAAAAGCAAAAGTTGAAAATAAATTGATAAGCTAAATTAACAAAGAAAGAACAAAAAAAAAAGTAAGCACAATAAAAAGAAAAAGAAAAAAGAACTATATTGTTTTAAATTAGTTATTATAATTTAAAATATAATAATCCAAAACAAATAAACAGTTTTTACGCAAGGTAAAGTTTCAAATCTGAGAGATTAATGCAATTTGCTAAAGCAGAACCTAAGCCTGATGCACCCATTGCACCAATTTAATTTTCACTTTTTAAATGTTGAAGAAAAAATATATCATTAAATAATTATTTATAAGGAAAAAATGAAGAAAAAATATGAAATAATAAGATTAATTAATTATAAAAGCAAAAATTGAAAATAAAATGATGAGCTAAATTAACAAAGAAAGAACAAAAAAAAAAGTAAGCACAATAAAAAGAAAAAGAAATAGAAAAAAGAGCTTTATTGTTTTTAATTAGTTTTTATATTTAAAAATATCACAATCCAAAACAAATAAACTGTTTTTACTTAAGGTAAATTGTCAAATTTGAGAGATTAATGCAATTAGATAAAGCAGAACCTAAGCCTGATGCACCCATTGCACCAATATAATTACTACTTTTTTATTGAAGAAAAAAATATCATTAAATAGTTAATTAGAAGGAAAAAATGAAGAAAAAATATGAAATAATAAGATTAATTAATAATAAAAGCAAAAGTTTAAAATAAAATGATAAATGAGCTAAATTAACAAAGAAAGAACAAAAAAAAAGTAAGCACAATAAAAAGAAAAAGAAAAAGAAAAAAGAGCTTTATAGTTTTTAATTAATTATTATAATTAAAAATATCACAATCCAAAACAAATAATCTGTTTTTACCAAAGGTCAAGTGTCAAATTTGAGAGATTAATGCAATTTGCTAAAGCAGAACCTAAGCCTGATGATCCTTCATCACCAATTTAATTATTACTTTTTTAACATTGAAGAAAAATATATCATTAAATAGAATAAGTTGCAATACAAACTTCTAAAAAGTGAGTTTTATATACCAGTTTTTACATTTTAAAAATTAAAATTTTAAATATTTTTTATGAATTTTTTTTCACCCTAGGTTTTCAAATTTTACATTTAGTGAATTTAAAGCTTTCTAAAAACTTAAAAATAAAGCGGCTTTAAGCTAATTTAGCTTTATTTATTATGTTATTAATATATAATGCATTTCTCCTTTTATAAATTAAATAGGCATTTTACTCTAGTTAATTAGGAGGAAAAAATGAACAAATAATATGAAATAATAAGATTTATTAATAATTAATAAAATTAACAAAGAATCAAAAAATAAAAAATCATAATAAAAAGAAGAAAAAAAAACAAATCAAATAAATATAAAGATCTTTAATATTTTAAATTAACTTTTATAATTAAAAATATTACAATGCAAAAAAAATAAACTTCTTTTATTAAGTATAAGTTTTAATAGCAAAAAATGAAGAAAAAATATCAAATAATAAATAATTAAAAATTGAAATGAAAATTTTGTTAAAATAACTAAAAAATTTTAGTTTTTGTAAAAATCAATAAACAGTGAATATAATTTCTTTTATAAAAATTATTTATTTAAATAAATTGAAAATTAAATGTACAAAAATTATTAATAGTAATAAAAGTAATTTTTTTAATTAAATATACTTCAGATTAATATAGAGAACCGAATGAGATAAAAGTGAAGAGCTTAAAAACTTTTTTTATTAATTTATATAAATTTAAAGGATATTAATAAAAAAATTAATAATTACTTCTTATAATTTGTTATATTTTATAATCTATTATATCATTTATTTTATTTTTTAAAAAAATTGAATAGTTATTTAGCTCAATTTAAAATTTTTGATGTAAAAAAATTATTTATAATTGAAATTATAATAGATTAAATTATAAATTAATTATAATTCATTTAAAAAATATATATATATAAATCAGATTTTTTAATAAATAAATAAATAAATAAATAAAAAAATATATTTCATAATATGTCATTATGAAATTTTTGTATGGCATCTGGCTATAATTAAAGATATTATAAATATTCCAAAATTACAGAGCTAAAACAGAAAAATCTACTGATAAATTATTTTTATTATATTTAAGAACATTAACTACAAGGTTTTTTTCAAATATGACTAAATAAATAACTGGCCATCTCTAATTCCTACTATATTTTAAATTATATGTTTTAAATACAAATATTAAGTTTAAATAGTGAAAGTTAAATCAATTTGATGTGATATCTCATCATAGAACCAAATATATAAATTAATATTTGATAATTAATTAATTGTTATATTTATTTGTTCTTTTTATCTATTTATAATTAATTAATTAATTAAATTTCATAAACTGCTATTCAATATTTTTGAAAAAAAAAATAAATGATATAATAGATTAAAAAATATTATAATCTCGAAAAAGTAATTATTAATTTTTTTATTAATATCCTTTAAATTTATAAAAATTAATAAAAAAAGTTTAAAAGCTCTTCACTTTTATCTCATTAGGTTCTCCATATTAATCTGAGGTATATTTAATTAAAAGATACTATTTTTATTATTATTGATATTTTTTGTATATTTAATAATCAATTTATTTAAATAAACAATTTTTATAAACAAAATTATCATCATTATTTATTGATTTTTGTTAAAACTAAAATTTTTTAGCTATTTTAACTT